TTAAGTCCCAAACCCTACCCACTTGGAAAAATCGATCTCTCTTGAATTGAATAGAGGGAGAAAGAGAGAGCAAACCTTGAGGTTCCACCCATTTCCCTTTGAGAGTTCCCATCCCCTATTGATGATCTTTGAAGCTTGATGGTGATCTTTCACTCCATAAGATCAAGCTTATCTCATACCATGATCATGGTATTATCTCTCTAAGTTATTTTATATCAAAGATAATTTTATTCTTAATCAAAGGTTCCTAGAAATTTCATTTACAGTCATGTTTTAGCTTCCTTAGACCTCCATTTTGATATTATCTTCATGCCATTCTTACATAGTGTGATCCCTCACTTGTTTATGTGTTTTATGCATTGGTAAACCTTTGATTATGCATAATTTCCTTTGATCTACCTTGCATGAATTCTCTTGAACATTTCTAAATCTTGTTATTCAAATTCCAGAGATATTTAGATCCTCTTAGAAATGTTTTTTCTCATTTAGAGTTGGAACTTTTGCATGAAACGTTGTTGTGGTGGACCTCCACAAATAGTTTTGCTCTAGCTTGCTCCATATTGATCCGATTTGCTCGATTCTTCTTGCATACTTTCTTAAATCGATTTTGTGCACTCTAAGAAGTGGGTTTAAAAGTGTATCCGATTTGCTCCATTATTCTTGCAAACTGTTTTAAATTGATTTTGTGGATTCTAAGAAGTGGTCTTAAAAGTGTAAGAGCTTCCTAATTGGATTAGACACCCTTGAGATTATAAACCACTCTTGTACTATTCATTGGGACACAATTAAGCCCCTAAAAGGCTCGAATTTGTGGCCTGGGCACATGGGGTTCGAATTGTTGGCTTCCCCACTTAGTTTGGCACTTAAATAACTTTGTTTAGTGGTTTTTATTTACTGATATCTCAGATGTTACAATTGTCATATGTAATTTGATTGTGTGAAGGTGTTTGAGCAATCTAGTACTTCAATGGTGTAATTTTTGAGCTTGTTCAAGTGATATGTAATTGCCCCATAAGGGGACTATTTAGAGTTTTTATTTCGGTGTTTTAAGTCCTCAAGTGCTTGTAAGGTCGATTCATGGTGATGTAATTGTATACTTGCATTGTTAAAGCAAGTGCTCTCTCTTGAGTTGTATTGAAATCGCCTTGTTTTTCAGCTTTATTAATAGCACCTAGACTTTATACCACATCAGTTCCTCTTCAGGGAAGACTTCTTTGTCATCATTATTATCTATCACCCACTCACTGGTATCATCCATATTCTTGGGTACCATGGGTTCAATTTCGTATCTTTCAAGATAATGCTCGTTCAGCTTTAGGTTGAACTGCACATACACAACTTTGTTCATTTTTATCTGCTTGAGCCTATTACTCTTCTTTGTATGCACTTGTGGAATATTTAATAATCTGAAATATACTTTTAGACTATAAATACAGTACATTATGTTAAAAAATGTAGAGTTTATGCCATAACTGAAAATTACTATGTAGTATCTGGTATCCAGCATCTCGAATGTGCTGAAGTTACGCTCGTAACCAGACGAGCTACAAGTCAAATTAAAAATGCGAGTAACCATCTGTTGTAGGTCATGGGCTGATCCACCATGATTTTACCCACCATGAAGCTAGCAATAGACAAAAAACAGAAAGAGCATAGGATGTAGAACTCAAAGAAAACTTGAACATAGAGTGATAGAAAATACTTTTAAGAATTAATACATGCAGGAATCATTGCCCCTTGCCTAACTGCCAATTCTCAGCCAAGTGATCCTATAGATAGCCCATACTTTTCTTGATCAGTCAAAGAGTCTTTCTTGTACGTCTGGTCTTTTATGAGTTCATGGTGCACTCATTAATCGCTTCCATGAAACAATTCTGAGTTCACACTTGTGGGTTAGCAGAGAAGTTTGTAGGGTTAAGAAAACACCCTACTAGATAGATGCAAGGGCCTCTCCAACTGCTTCTCCCACTCATCATCCATTATCTTCAAGAATGGGGCATACTTTTCTTCTTCATTGTTTAATTTATTCTTTATCTCCTTGCTGGCCAACTCCAATGTCTTATAAATACGGCTTTTCTCCATACATCATTCTAAACACTTCCACCAATGGGCCCTTAGCAGCATGGGCCAATTTAACTCCGTTCCAAAATTGAACATCCAGAATAAAATTTGTAATCTCCTTCCCTTACTATTCCCTTGCTAGTTTTGGCCCGCTTGTTTTGGATCCACTCCTCTCAAACAAAGAGCTTTGCTTTTTGGCTTAGGATAGATCGGAGGCAAAGAAATGCAGTGGCAAATCTTTAGCCCCTGGCCTCACCAACTCGCTCTTCTCTGTCTGTTTCCTCATGGGGCCAATACCTATTTACATAAGCATAAAGAGCAGTAAGTTATTAACTTACTATGTCATATCATGAAAAATAACTGGTTGATTATATATAAGGAAGTCCAGAAATTGTAAAATGTAATATGAAAGGATATAAATCGACTTACCCACTTGTGGTTATATATGAACACTGATACTTTCCTTGCTTTGATGGGGGTATTTTGTATTGTGCTTTTCTTTGCAAAAGGCCTCCTGCATAAGGTCAATGCAATGTGCTGTGTATGGCATCAAAAAAAAAAGGGGCTTCTTTCTCATAAATAAACAGCCTGCAACCAATCTCGTTGCGGCGAAATTCGTGATCACTCGAACCATAATCTTGTCTACAACTTGAAAAATGAATTGTGCATCATGAATGTTATCAGATGCATCTACAGAACTAAGGAATCTTGTCCCTAAGGGATAATAACCATAAAGTTTGTAATACTGCAGGTCTGTCTATCACCCCATAAATCTGTCATTATTGTGACCCCATATGTCGCCCATACTTCCTTATGGGCCCATTTGGATCCCTGGAGTTTCAATCCTGGAATTGAGATTTACTAGAATTGACATTTCTTGGAAATGCAAATTCCCTGTTTGGATCGCATCTGGTAGAAATTAAGGAAATGCAAATTCCTTGTTTGGATCGCATCTGGTAGAAAGTAAGGAAATGCAAATTCCCTGTTTGGATTGTCTGGAATATCTTTTTCTTGGAAATGCAAATCTTTCTCTCTCGCTAAATTGTAATATACTCTCTCTCTAAAACTTAATTTGAGAAAAGTTTCTCTATCTAAATTTTTTTAAATAGTTTCTCTCTCTAAATAATTCAAGTACTTTCTCAATCTAAAATTTGATATAGTTTCTCTCTCTAAAGTTTTAAGATATTTTCTCTCTCTAAAACTTAAAATTTGAGATAGTTTCTCTCTCTTAAATTTTTTTGGTAGTTTCTAATCTCTAAAATTTGATATAGTTTATAATTTCTAAAATTTTAATATGCTCTCCCTCTAAAACTTAAAATTTGAGATAATTTCTCTCTCTAAATTTTTTGAGATATTTCTCTCTAAAAAGTTTTAAGTAGTTCCTCTCTCTAAAATTTAATGTAGTTTCTCTCCAAAATTTTAAGATACTTTCTCTCTAAAATGTAAGATTTGAGATAGTTTCTCTCTAAATCTTTAATGTGGTCTCCCTAAAACTTTAAATTTGAGATAGTTTCTCTCTCTAAAAATTTGAGATAGTTTTTCTCTAAAAATTGTATATTTTCTCTCTAAAAGATTTCATATATTTTCTCGCTCTAAAATTTGATATAGTTTCCTTCTCAAACTTTAATATGTTTTCTCTCTCAAATTTTAATTTTTTTCTCTTAAGCAGCAAAATGGAACATTTCCATGAGGTGTCAATTCCACCTATTTTGGGGGAATTGAGATTTCCAAAATTTAGGCTTAAAATGCGCATTTAGGAATTTCACAAAAATTTCAATTCCAACGGCAATGTCAGTTCTACGCAAACCAAACATAATTGGCCCAGCTTTTCCAGGAAAAGTGACTCCTGAAAATTTGAATCCAATGAGCCAAACGGGCCTTATGTGTCTCATGTATATATTTATAATCTCAACTGTCTTTTTTGCACCCTTTGCTACTCTTTACCTTCCTCTTTCTTCACCTCTCTCCTCTCTTCTCTCAATCCTCAACAACCAAGCAAATAAAAATAAAATGAAAAAAAAAAAGAAAGAAAAAGAAAGAAAAATAAAGCAATTTCTTCGCCTCCCATACTCACCTAACAAACATTTTAGTCTATTTTTTATAGGCTAGTTCAATCACAAGTGGTCTCCGTCCCTTCTAAAGCTTGGGGCCTTCTGGTTATTTCTTAGTGTGAGCACTTGAGAGTGGGTGCCTTACATATTTCCATCTTCTTTTTCTCACTACCCTCTTTTTTCCTTCTCCCTCTTTTTCTTGTCCCTGCTTTTCGAGCACCCAGCTTGTGGGCTGCCAGCAAGGGGAATGTGGGACGTCTTGTAATTTTTGTTAAATATTAATATAGTATATTCCACCATTCTCACCAAAAAAGTAACAAACTTAAATAAAATTAAAAAAAATAGAGGAGCCTAGATTGCCAAACATCAGCAATCTCTTAGACCAAAATATGGTTATTGCTTTGTTGCTGCATGATAACATATTTTTATTAGTTTATGTTGTGAGTTACCTATATGGCTACTCAGGTATTGTGACCAATTATATGCATTTTTTTTTCTAGTCCCTCTTTTTATTTGTGTGAGTTTTTTTTTTTTGGTTGGAGTTGGTTGACTGTATTTGATAAGTAGAAATAGTAAACAAAATCCTCAGTATGGCAACTCACAAGAGCCCAGCACTTTACACGCAAGGGGTTTAAAAAGAAAAATAGTGAAAACAATGAAGTGCAAGTTGATCTTTGCGCTTGGTGCAATGTCGCATCTAGTGAGGTGTGTGTAAGTTTTTTTTACATTTTTGCTCAATTTATGCAAGACTTAGGAAAAAAACAATATGTTGAATTTTTTTAAGGAAAAAAACAATATATTCATTTCTTTTAGTTCTAGGTGCTGTTAATTGATTGATAGGAAAATGTTGTTTCCATGTCTAAATGTGTTAAATTCTTTTTTGTACAGATGCCCTTATGTCATGTTCCAAAGAATATTCAGCAAATTGCAGCTGATTGGATAGTTAAGCTAGGTTGAGATGCTATAATAATAGTGAAGAATTTGTCTGGCCGGCATTGCAATGTAGCCTTGCTGCCCTTAAGATGGAACAAGGAGCCACTACAGTCTTAGGTTGTTCGAATCAAGCATCAAAATCATGGTCCAAGGTAACTGGAATTTCGTTATTTATATCCTGATCAGAGTTTTAATATTTTTTTGATAATTGAATATAATTAAGGGAATAGTGTACTAACATGCGCTGGAGTATGGAGAGGCACAATCTATTGGGCGTTTATCTACACACCATCCAATGATGCGAAGGGTTATGTGGAGAGAGTGGAACCTAGCATTGGAGTCATGCCATATTCTATTTGTCCCACTCTCTGTACAATCGTGTCCATCGTATTCTTGGACAGTTATTATCCTTATGGAATTTTATCTCTCATAGTTCATTGCTTTATACTCGTCCTTAAAGTAGCATGTGTTGCCCTATTTGTTTTTTGGGCAGCAATGGGTCTCTATTCTAGTCTTAATGGATGTTCGTTTGTTTTTATCCTTTCAGAAATTTTCGATGTTCTAGGAAATCGAAAACTTCTTTTTCAACTTGGTTTCACCATTTTGCTGCGAAAATTTCAATTTTTTCTAGACTTTCATACATCTCAGAGGTGGTAGAGGGGTTTTATCGGTCACATTTTAATGCTGCAAGGTTGATTTGCGTGCTGCCATTAACATGGGATTCATACAGTCCTTTTATGAGAAGATCGATGAGAGGAAATGTCGACCTATTTGTACACCTTACAGTTTTACATATTAAACCGATTTTTTATCTATTTATGTTGTTAAGCCACAACTATAGATTCATGGCATGCCACTAGAATGGGCCCCTATCAATAGAGAAAGTTTATGGTGGGGTACTTATTGCAGGATACCTTATAGAGAGAGGGTTTAAGTTAATTGTTTTTAAAAAAAGGACTTTGGGTTCTTATACACCTACATCTAACTATCTAAAACATGGACATTTTTTGTACAATCCTAGGATGTGCTTATTTTTTGTGCCACTTCCAGAGTTTGCATTCCTTTTTTTCTTGTCTTTTTGAAAGTTGGCACCAGGAAGGAGGTTATTGTACATTTTGCTCCTGCAGGAGCATATACCACTTTTCAGGTCAATATTTGGAATTAATGTAGGAAGTTGAAGATTTGAAGTCAATTGGGTTCTTTATCCTTTTTTTGAACGAAATTGGGTTCTATATCCCTCTGGCTTTTACTTAATGTACAAAGCATATGCATCCCACTAGTACTACTGACAGAGGGTTTGAAGGAGCGTGCATGATAATTTATACCCAAAGTACCCTTAGAAGATGTTCCACCCTATTCATATTTTATCCCAAACTTCTATTCAAAACTACACTTATTTTAGGTGGCACATCATCTTAGAAATACAAAAGATAGTCGACTTTAAATTAATTTCTTGTGTTCTGCATGTGAAATTTTCAAATAAAACAAAAAAAATTTGTAGTAATCTTCATTGTATAATGAACCAAAATAGGCCTTAACTCGGTGCTGGTCTTGCATAAGCAGGGTATAAAGAACCAAAATAATTGCCTTAATGTCTAAGATTAAAAATCTAAAAAATGTGCTTATGGAGAGGGAGTGGGAACCACCATGATAGTGCAGGGCGAGTTTCTTAATTTTTTCGAATTTGGGTTTTTGTATGTTTGTACTTTCAAGATTGGGTTTTTGATGTATTTCTTTACGTATTGAATGTTTAGTGAGTCACCGATTTTGACAAAAAATTGGCATGGTCTTCAATGATCCTGATCTCGGCTGGTGATTTTGCAATCATTGATTTAATCCATAATGGCTATGCAGCCTGAAGTTATTGTTCTTTTATTCCAAGTCCAAGTTTGCTGCTGGATTCAATATTTTGGATGTATAGTAATCGAAATTTCAATCTTCAATATTTCTAATTAATCGGGTTTCGAGCCCATACCCCCTTGGGCCCTAAAAATCCAACCTCTCTCTCTCTCTCTCTCTCTCTCTCTCTCTCCTCCTCCCTCCCTCCCTCCCCTACCCCTACCCCCACCCCCTACCCCCACCCCCGTACCCCCGTACCCCGTACCCCGTACCCCGTACCCGTTACCCGTTACCCGTTA